ACTCCTTTTCACGGCTCAGAAAATGTTTACAAAATGGAGCTCTTTGCCCCTTCTTGCCACCATGAACGACCATCTTGCTCTGATAATCCGCAAGCTTGTGTAGCAACAGAAATATTAACTACCTGATGAAAGCTGCCATTTGGCATTCTGCTGTCCAATTGGATACGGAATCAAATATAAATAGTCCGACCATGTAATGCAGCAGATTCCCTCCTCCATAATATCGGCTTTGAATTTTAGCAGCACCTGCAAAGCTTTACAATTTTCGCTATCAAATGCATAATTGCTCGGGCTCAGTCCTTCCATTTGTGCTCTTAAATATCCTGTGAAAGTTGAATAATATCCTGTTTTCTAGACATTATTTTTTACAGTCCTTGTCATGCTCAAATTACTTTGCACAACTAATCTAAGTAAGAAGAAATTAAAACAAAATTTTATCTTTCTCTTTCATTTTACCTGGTTGATCTGATTTGTGCATAAGTTGAGTATCCCTTAGCTTGACTTAGCCATCATAATACTAAGTTACTAGGTTCGCCGACATCCCATGCATCATGGAGATTTGGCAAAATAGAAATTTTGTAGATTCAGGTAAGCATTGAGAATAATAAACCTTAGAATAAGGATTGAGCCTAGCTCACCTGATCGGCGTCCACAAAAATGATCTTCTTAACACGAAGAGGGAAGAGTACATCGAGAAAGAGGATCTTATAGCCCCAAATTATGCGTTGTCTCTCTGTCTGGCGACGCAGCCATCGGGGCCATTGATACTGTACAAGCTCGTATTGAAAGTTATACTCCGCCGCCATATAGGGAATAATCTCCTTGAAAGTAGGAGATAGATAGTTTTTGAGGAACCAGAACTTAACCGGTGTCTTTGTGTGCCTAAGCACAGTTAGCATCATGATTCTGGAGATAAGATACAAAAATAATGGTTTTGATAATTAGGGTGTTGCAACAATATGTTTGTTCATAGTCTGTAGACTAAATATTCCTTGCGGGCTGACTAAGGCAGAAATCAGAGGGTCAATTTGTGTTTCTGAGATGCGAAAATGGCACTGTTAAGTGCTAATTCCTAAATAATGTATTAGCGCAAGTAGTCCAATGTTTATGTTTTCTTTAGTTGTATCGGATAGAAAGATGAGCTTATCTC